GATGTTGAATAATTTGTACACACTTTGTCTAGTAAACTGTGTTTTAGGTGATTAGCTCGTTTGTTCCATCTCGACTTAACGCCTTGTTTCATTACAAATATAATGATTTCACTATCACGTTTCGGATTGGATCATAATCGTACCAAATTTGAATAAATCTGTTTAGCGTTTTGTTTTGAGTATAATTGAGTACAAATTGAATAAGATTTTCGACTTCTGTCTAATTATCTCCGTCAGTGTCATTCAATGGCAAGTATGTTCAACATGTTACGCAAATATTTGTATTCGGCATCTCGCTTGTTTCACTGAACAACCTAAAAATGATCAGTTTACCCTCATATATACATTCTAATAGGTTAAATTATCAGCATGTGGAATTAGATTATGATCGATATTTCTGCTAGTTGATTTATCGATTAATTAATGTATTTATATTGTACTTTATTTGTTTCTTATTCAATGCTAAGGCATATTTATTGGTGTATGAATCAAGTTTATTTTAAAAGAACATACAGTCCTTACTATGTTGACGTACATAGATTATTTGGTTTTATATAATACACTGAATAATCACTAGAAATTAAGAAGCACTAAGTTCTACTCAGTTTAATATATCCTGGTTGAATTAGTGGATTCGTACTCTTAGGAATGCTCATACTAGGATGAGATAGCTTTCTAATGCTTCCCGATTTTAAGTAGTTAGTTGTTTAACTAAAGCTACTTCATGATCTAAAATCATCATGAATTAAACATTATTATTTAGACAGGGTGGTTAATAAGGATTTGATTCAATTCAAAGTTCTCATCATTTACTGAAATCAAACTAAAAAATCAATGAATGAAAGCGGGAGAGCATTGAACAGCTAATTACTTCTGGTTCATTTACACATTAAGGATCTATTTGTAACCATAAATCGATCAATGTTAGACCCCCATTAGAAACCTGGAAGCACTGGACGGCCGCTTCGTCCTGGTATGGGACTCCTCGGCAGTGAGCATCCACGACTCCTGCATCCCGCAGGATTCGAACCCAGGACCTTCGGTATTGTGCACGAACGCCCTAACCGTTAGACCACTGAGACGGAATTTGACGGTGTTAATGTCTAACTTGATCAAATCCACGGAGTTGCGCAACCTCATACCCTGTATACATTCGGACAGGTTTGAACTTCACTGGTCACGAATTCCCACTAGAACTCGGAGAAGATTCCTCACCTGCGAGGAGCAGGAGTCGTGGATGCGCACTGCTGATGAGTCCCATACCAGGACGAAACGGCCGTCCAGTGCTTCCAAGTTTCTAATGGTGGTCTAACATTGATCGATTCATGGTTACAAATAAAACTTAACAACCTTCACAACAACCCCTCAATACATTAAGGATCTTAAAATTTTATCATGTTTCCTGGTAAACACATTAACGTTGAACATTTAAAGGAATCTTCTGATGATAAAAAATGTTAGGAAACAATGATACGTATTGGCAAATTCGTAGTGCATTTGCCTTTGATTGTTCAATATATGTGGAATATTTGCATTTTTTTCACGTTTATTTAGTAAGTGAATGTTGCAGCAAACAGTATAATTTTCATTGAGAATTATATTTCAAGCTCAAACTTTCGTAATATTGCAACTCACTACAATAGTGCGCTTACAGAAGTCAAAATAAAAATAACCTTCTTATATACGGCAAACATACACTGAATGAACGGAAAATGCTCGAAGGTGCTAGGTATTATACTTTCAGTAAATGACGAAGGAAAGGAGGGTTATTTCAAACTATTAACGAGTACGTAGTATATCAAATTGTTTTGCATTAACTGACGTAATAATACTTTATCATCGGAATATTATTACATGAATATAAGTAGACTTTTGGGAATATGCCCGCATAAATTTGAAATATCAACCTGAGTGTTGCATTAAGTTTAAGTTCTTTACACACTATTAGTAAAACTGTTAATCAGTCAACCGGTTAATCCAAACTATTCTAAATTCAATTAAATCTCATAAGTGTTGCACTACTGTAAAGGATATCTGTACTCAGTGGCTAAATGGATCATGCAGTCACATTCAGAGCAAATGGTCCTGAGTCTCGAAGTGAACGTCAAGTCAAGGAATGAGATTCATCAAGCTGGCAAGTTCCAAATAGTATGTAACTCGCCTTCCAGATTCCATTATAAGTGTGAAATCAGTTGATTTACTTGAATTATAGCATTAACCTGAATGGCTGAGTAAGATTATGGGTTCTAAAGACTGTTTTATATGATAAACATTAAGTCATTCGGAATTATGTAGAAAAAATGCTAATCAGATTTATTCAAATTTGGTACGATTATGATCCAATCCGAAACGTGCTAGTAAAATCACTATATTTGTAATGTAAGAAGGCGTTAAGTCGAAATGAAGCAAGCAAGCTAATCACCAAATGCACAATTTACTAGCCAATGTGTGTACAAATTATTCAACATCCATTAGTCTTCTTCCACATGTTTTCTACTCAAATCGCGCCATACATCCGGATCTGACACTTTCCGCTTCGGCCGTAAATCCAGGGCAACAATCTGCTGCATATCTTTTACATACCACTTAAATGCTTCGTTCTGAATAGTACACACATGACATATTAACTTAATTAGTCATAAAGCATTACTAGACCAACTATACTTAGTTATTAAATGACATTGAAGGAAATAGTTAGACAGACATTGAAAATTTCATTCAATTTGTATCCAAGTATTATACTCAAAACAGAATCCACTACATCGAGGTCATTCACACCAAATCACCTGAGCAACTTCCACAAATTCATTGATCGAAAATGTAGATATTCTCATCAAATCATCTCACTGACAAATATTCATTCACTCACATTTCATTCATGTTGTTTGTATGTGACTTATGTTTGTTTGTACAAGTGATTTCCATTCATTGTTATCATTTGACAAAGAAATTCGTGGAAGTTGTGATATTGAACACTTGAACAAACAATGAGTATTAGTCATAATGATCATGTGAACACGGAAAACAAATTATAATAATTGAGTAAACCAGATTTCCATTTTTTAACGTAAACAAATGAAATTGAATAAAACATAAACACAATGCGAACATGAATGGTAAATGAGTGAGAATCATGGAGTATACATTGAGTGTAGAATGTTTCTCGAGACAGACTAATGGGAATCGACCGATCATGGTGTGGTATACTTTTCTGTCTGTATGTGATGATCAGTAATATTTGCATGAGTATGTAGTATGTGATGTTGATGACAGTTTCCATTCTCCGATATTACTCTTTAGTCAAGAGAGAGAGAGAGATTAGGTGTATGTGTATGTGGAACATTGAGAGTTGTTCAGTGACATTTGTATGATTTAGATGTTTGATTCGTGAACAGAGTGGCGTGACTATATCATACCGACGACCTGAAACTGTTATGAAGGTAACCACAAGCATAAAGAATCAGGAGAAACTCAACTAGAAATCGTGTAATGACAGAGGGTGAAGAGCCCTAATATGAATAAATTACTGTAGTCGAGCTAACTATCGATGAATTCGTCTGGAATTCATGACACCATAAGCCCTCATTACCCTTACTTCTAACCCTAAAAAGGGACCTTAATGGTCTTTTATCCCAATAAAATTAAGTTTACACAAGAACACACAGGCAACTTTGAACATTATAAACATGTCGATAAAAGTGCCTGAAACGCCTGTTCTTTCATCTAGCGAAGCTAATAGAAGAAGGAAGAAGTCTAATATTTGCTGAAGGTCACAGTTTCCTTTGAAGTGATAGTTATTCGGATTGTAAAAATGACTCAAAAATTACATGCTATCTGAGTTATTTATCCATCCAACAACCCTCTCCTAACTATCCGTTAGATCTCCTCGAGTAAAGAACAGTTATTTCAGTTAATTTTATTGAGAAGGGTTCATATTTAACTCAGTCAGGGTTGGAACTCAACACCTTAAGGTTATTTATTGCAAATGAGTTATTTTTAGACCATCTGGTTCACATTACTATCTTCAGTTAATTAACAATATGATGTAATAATCGTCAGTTATCATCAGTTTTGATTGAATTGCCTCTCTTCAAGTCACATTGTCTCATTAAGACTTCCAAAATTTATCTCGAACTATAATTAAAGTGTTTAGATAGATCATTTTAATATGAAGGAGTAGCACATGAAGATCCATTCCATGCACCTATATTAATGGTTGCTTCGGTTGTCGTGACTTACGAAGAAACTCAGCTTTCATCATGAGACATCGTAACTCTGCTAAATGAAAAACTTTCAACTCCCACAACAAAGTTTAAATTGTTTAGATAATTTTTTTCTCGTTAGTGTTTTTTTCTAAGGAGATGGTTTTTTACAGAATGGCGTCGCTAACTCCATGCCCGTCCCTCCTACTTTATCCGAGCATGGGACCGGTAGTAACACCAAAGAGGCTTCAGGCGGAGTTAGTACTTGAAGATGGTGGGCATTTTTTCATGGATTCATATTGTTAAGAAATCCCAAACAAGAATAAATCAGTTATTTATATTGTTACCTGGTTTTTTTTGTTTTCTAAAACTTTTACTTATACAGATGGAACTGAATATTGTACAGTGTCAAATTCCGCAAGTTTAAGAGAAGCAATTGTACAAATGATTTATAATCGTGAAGATAATACACCATTATTATTTGCTTCTCCAGTTGTTCATTTTGATGAAACAAAATTACCTTCATTCTATGGTGGTTGTAGACCGGAACATTTACCGAAAGATTTTCGTGAACGTGCATCGAAATTTGAATTGAGCCAAGAGATCAATTATAATACAACGCCAGAATTGCCAATGATCACTGAATTAATATGTAGTGTATGCAATCAACATAAATGGCATGGCGATCGATTCACTTGTGTTGTATGTCCAAGAGTTGTATTATGTCCGCGGTGTTTTAAAAACAATCAACATTCCGAACATCCAATGTTAATTACCAGAGATAATGCAGCATTTCCATGTCCTGTATTACAAGCTGTGAAAATTGTTGCTTCCGATGTCACTGTAGAAGATGTAACTGATGATGATGATGACGAAAATGGCGAACAATCCGATTCATCTGAGTTTAGAACATCATCCTCTTCGACGTCTACTACTACTACTACTGCGAATGTTACTGCTACAGATGATATTCATAAAACAATTGATAGACTTCGTGAAATGGGTTTTAAACATAAAAATAATGAATTAATTGAATTGATCAAACGAGAAAGTGGTAATTTACCATTGATTGTTGAAAAATTAGCCAATTAAATAATAAAATGTTTGTTTGTTTGTTTGTTTTAATTTGTTTTAAATATTTGTCCATGTCATTTTGTTTTGGTAGAAATCATTCATTTATTTTTAGTTTTTTTATGATTAGTTTTTAAACAAAATCAATGTATATAATAGATAGTAGTGACAAATGAAATTGCTTTATTTATTCTTCCTTTTGTGATATATATTGATGTGAAATATATATCAAATGTTGAATATCTGACTTTTTACTGCGTAAAAAAATAGATTGGCATGTTTAGCGGAAGTATTAAGTGGCTTAGATAGCAATTCATCTTACTTACTTAAACCTGTTATCGCCAAAGAAGCATTGGTCGACGATCAGCATTGTTTAACCTATTCTGTCATGTGCCTACTTTTTGAGTTCTATTTAATCGCAGTTCATTCTTCTCATGTCTGCCTCCATTTCTCGACATAATGTGTTCCCTGGTCTGACTCTTCTGCTTTGACCTTGAGGATTCCAGATCAATGCACGTCATATGACACAGTTGGGTGATTTCCTAAATAAGTATCCAATCTACCTCTACTGCTTCTTCCTGATTTCTTCCTCCACTTGAATCTGGTTTGTCCTCTCCCAAAGTAGGTTTATGCTAGTGGTGTCTGTCCAATGAATCAGAAGTATTTTAAGTACACAACTGTTAATGATTTCTACAGTTGAAAAATATCTGGAACTCCAAACACCTTACAACCAAAACCAAAATCAGGATTTTCAATACAAATGTCAAGACAGTTCGACTGTATGGAGTGGAAACTTGGAGAACTACGAAAGGCATCATCCAGAAGATACAAGTGTTTATTAACAGTTGTCTTCGCGAAATACTTCGGATTCGTTGGCCAGACACCATCAGCAACAACGTACTGTGGGAGAGAACAAACCAGATCCCAATGGAGGAGGAAATCATGAAGAAGTGGTGGAAGTGGATAGGACACACACTACGAAAAGTACCCAACTGCGTCAAAGGACAAGCCCTTACATGGAACCCTCAAGGTATAAGGAAAAGAGGAAGGCCAAGGAACACATTACGCAGAGAAATAGAGAAAGATATGAGAAGAATGAACAAACAATGGACAGAACTGGAAAGAGAAGCCCAGGACAGAGTTGGTTGGAGAAAACTGGTCGGCTATCTCTGCTCCATTGGCACTAACAGGCGTAACTAAGTACAGTAAGTACACAACTGTTAATGAATACTTGTATCTTCTGGATGATGGCTTTCGTAGTTCTCCAAGTTTTCGCCCTATACAGTAGAACTGTTTTGACATTTGTATTGAAAATTATGACTTTAGTGTTGGTTGATAGTTGTTTTGAGTTTCAAATGTTCTTCAACTATAGAAAAGCTAGCATGGTTTACCGATACGTGTCTTCAAAATTGTTTATCAATAATGCTGCTAAGATATGTAAAGGTTTCTATATCCTCCGAAGCTTCGCCGTCAATTGTGATTTGGTTGATACATGTTGTGTTGTATTAGAGAATCTTGCTTTTTCGTTTATGTATGTTGAGATCTAAGCATAATAGACTTTGAACAGTATGATTATTTCCAAAACACAAAGGTTATGTTTTGATTACATCACAGGTTAAACGAATAAGAGTTTTTTAAAACAGCACTTCAAACATTTTAAAAAAAGAACCATCAGAAAAGTATGAAACAAAGACACTACTACTACTACTACTACTACTACTACTACTACTACTACTACTACTACTACTACTACTACTACTACTACTACTACCACTACTCCTACTACTACTACTACTACTACTACTACTACTACTACTACTACTACTACTACTACTACTATCATTATTACGAAGAAAGTAAGAACAAAGATCTAAGTGTAGTCAGGATGAATTCATTTTATTTCGTTCAGTTCTTGTCAGCTGCTTACAACATGCAATATTTAAAATCATCGTTATACATTTGACATAAATCACGTAGATGAAAGAGTTTAGTTGAGAATTTCCTTGATCATAGATCAGTATAGTACAACAAGAGTGTAAATGATATTTTTCTAAACTGAATAGAAGATTTTAAATTTGTGCTTTACACAAAAGAACATTTCACAACATTGATTACAACAAAAGTCCAAAATGTTTATGTGATGAATAAAGGTTGATAATAAGGATGAAATGAGTAAGCCTCAGTTAGGTGAAATAATAAGATCGTTAATCCAGAAGACAGACGAAATGAAAACAATATAAGAGTTCAGCAGAATCCAGACTTGTAATTAAGAAATATTAATTACAAAGTCAAAGAAAGATGAATAACCATCTCGTTTTAAATACATAAATCAGAATTCCAGTGCCTGATAGCACTCGCTTCAACAAACTTTAGAAGACCGGGACTTGAATGTTTATCAGTCGTTACCTTGAGATATTGCAAAGTATCAACCTGATCGCCTGTATTCAAGATTACACTGCCTAAAGTATATCTTTCTTTTATTCGAAGACTTTTTGGAACATGTACAAAAGACCTAAGGTATGTTCTCCGTTCTGTTCAGTCAATGTAGCTGCCTTGTTATGTATATGTAAATTTATAGACATATTTGGAGGTAAGTAATTTTCTATGAGATTGAGATGTCAATACACGAACTGATCACGTAGTGAATTTCAATTTTCAGTCATTTAGACTACTTATCTTACTCTACTTACTCTGAAATAATGAGTTAGTTACCATGAATTTATAAGCAACCATTAAATTCATTCACTTTCATGCGTACTGTAATGACGTGAATTTCGAATTGACAAAATCTTATTATCAGGTGACATACTATAGTTTGATAGTGTTAGAACGAGCCACTAAATATGGAAACTCTCATAATATGAACAAGAGATATGATTGTAACTTGAACTAACTTTACAAGTTTAACTTCATAACTGGTTGACTATTTGATCCATTGCTTAGATTGTATGTGTGCGTGTTTGTTTGTTCAGACACTTCTGAAGTAATCTTTCCGAAAAATGAGAATTCATTAACATTGACATTCTGTCAGTTTGTTACTTGTTTTAATGAATATTTTCGGTGTATAGGTTAGCGAGTGTTCTATATGGGTTTCACTCAAATAATGGTTGTTTCAAGAAGATGAGCTGAATACCATGCGCATGTTCACATAGAAAATTTTATCTGAAAACACTACTCCGACAAACTCAATTTTTTATACGATACGTTGTTACTTACTTATAAGTAGTATACCATAAAATGTGACTTTTCTTGATAAACTAAGTTTGCAAATGAGAATTTTTCACTATTGCTTGTCGATACTTAGAAAGACATTTAAATTACAACATCACTCATGTAAATTCAGTCTTATTTTCAATAGAATGAAAAAATATAAAGTAAACAACTCGAACAACAAATTAAGATCGCCAAATATGATTAAAGAATATAAAATCTGTTTGAAATATCATTCTATGTATAGTACTGCGTCAATGTGTACTCGATCACATGATATCATCATTTTAAGGTAATCTGATCGAATTCGGTTATAATGAAACCAAGCTCATACTAACTTCCTATTCAAATGACATGCGTTCATCCATCAGTGAATCAATAAGAAAAGGTGTCATGGTTGAGACTAACAATATAGTTTCGACTGTTTGCAGAAATAGAAGATTACAGGACTAAAAACATGGCCATCAAACAGATGGAAGAGACCTCCAAAGTAAAGGGTATGAAAATGTTAATAACCTCAGGCTGTTTTAAGTTTATTATTTTAATTAAAACAAAAGATTACAACATCAATAATGAACGTATTTAGAACAGCTGGTTCCAGGGAACTGTCCACTGTTGCATGTTTGATTGTGTCGCTGATTGATACTTCTTTAGATCTCTGATTTGATTCAAAACTTAGATCTAAATCCGATATCTTAAAAATCTAGCTCTGAAAGAATCTAAACATCAGACCCATTGAAACTAAAACAGTTGCTATTCACTGTTCAAAGTACATGCAATGCACTTTAACACAAATAGAAATCAATAGGTATCACACAAAAAAAACATAATAACATCCGTGTTCATGCATTCATTGATTGCTGCACTATAATCAAATGTAACATCACATTTTTATCAATACATACATAGTAATATAATAATGTGTTTGACCTGATGAAAAAAATCACAAACATCATTAATTGCTTCATAGAATGACAATGACTAATGAGTGGTCTGCAAGATAATCATAAATCTCTCTCTCTTAAACCATGCATTCATTTATTGATTAATTATGACTTATGAAAGATTGTATTATTGCCAATGATGTCTACCTATCATGCTATATTTGTTTAAATCTAACACTGTTATATATACATCTAAATTTGAAATTCAAAGCTGACAAAGTCTTAAAACATAGCGGTAGCAGCTAGTAAAACCAAATTAGATAAGTGTTATCTCTAATCTAGTTGATTGAGATGTTATAGTGTATTATTTATTAAACGATCTCCTTCATAATAAATATCAAAGTTTATAGTTTATGAACGTGTTGAAACTTCGGAATTTTTACTTGTAAGTAAATGATTAGTGGAGTAAGAGATTTAAATGTAATACTACGATTTCTGAGAATTAGTCTATCTTCAGTACGTGGTACATACATATATGCTGCATGGCTTCAGTAGTGTAAGAGAAGAATATTAGCAATATAAATGAAGCTCATTGCTAGACCTCGAGGTAATGAGTTCGATCTTCAGTATGATAGTGAATGAGTACCTCTGAGGAATTTCTATGCTAACATGATACAACTGTTCTTTGTTTTCTGGTTTTCAGTAGTTATTTAAATGGAGTCATTTCCTGATGCAAACTATGAAATCATTTAGTTTGACAAATGTATAAACCAAGCTTAGTAATCAGAGATGTGTGGTAGCTAGCAGTGGAATCCAAGATATGAATTTCGTCCCATCTGAGACTCATCAACTGGATCAACTTGCATTTTAGCTTAAAAGAACGATATAATTTAAATCTAAGAAGTTATCGAGTTATTGATCACGATGATGTGAGGTCCTAATCTAGGTACTCTTTATTCAGACCTACATTTATCCTACTAGCCGGTGACCTATGTTCCAATGGGGGTAACAGGCGTATATATATACAGTATATAAATTTTTCGTGTTTCTAGGATTTGCTTGTCGGTAATTCCATCTCTTGATATCCATCTGTGAGAACTGGATCCGTGAATAAACCAACATTTTAATTAGCTGTCACCTGTTTCCGTTTCGTATCGATTCAAACGATCAATTATTAAACTACAGACAGCCATACCACATTCCTAGGTTTCTGAAAATCCTTGTTAAGATTGGCAGTTTAAACAACCGTCGTATAAATCGATAATGTGAAATCAAATCTTCATATCTTTTTTAAACTAAGTTAAAGTTTATGACAGAACACAAACTTCTATATCCGTAAAAACCTTAATTACCTTGACAAATTAGTAATACAAACAACTGTCCTATTTCATGATAAGGTAGAAATGTTCTGGTTGGGACAATGATCTGTTAGTTTAATCGATCAAAAAAAATTGATACAGGAAGTACTATTAGCGTTTTTCTAACTTCACCACCGATTAAGCGATACAATATAATCACAGACAAGTTTCAGTTAAATTCATATATGGTCGTTAGACTTTCAGATCAATAAAAGACAGAACATTTAAGTAATGAATCGTTGATTTGGCAATGGTAGTGCGTTTTGGTTAATTTACACTAAACATTTGGTGTGAACTAGTGAAAACAAACTACCTATGTGCATTAAAACACACAAAAACTTTTTTCAGAATCGAAAGCCAGCGAATAATTTTCAATAGTCAAAACTTACTGTCACAATTCATAACGTGGTGAGAGAGGAATGACTATATTTGATAAGAAAAAATCGAAGAAACACATTAATTTGTTCTATAGAGAGTTTTATTCACCTTGTTTACAATTATCACTTAAATTCTTCGGTTCGGATGATGAAAATAGAAGAAATTTCGAAAGAAAACAAGAGATCACCTGCAAAATAAATCGTCTCAGTTGTGATAGACAATACACTGGACAAACTGAATGCATACATGAACACAAACTAACAGTAAAAACGACGTAACATGTTATCGCTGAAATGAATTCACATGGAAAAACACACAGATATCAATTCAACCGCGAAAGCATTGAAAATCTGGATCGATGTGACTCTAAATATGCCATAGAATTTCCAGTCAACCATATAGTCAAATGTTAAGTAAACAAGACAGCTATTATGAGTACAAGAGAAAATGAAAATAGTCAATCACGAACAAGTGCATTAGGACAAACTGGTTAAGCAATTATGAAATAAAAAAGCCTCCCATTTCGGTATGAAGTAAGAGCAGATTATGCTAATCAGAACAACGACTGTTTAGCTCAGAAAATTTAACAATATTGAAAGAATAAATTTTGTTTGCTTAAGAATTGAACTTCTTGTTATAATATTTGGAAAATATTTCAACAACTTACTAATTATAATACTTTAGAGATTTGTGTTTTCATTCAGTTCTTCTCATTAGTCTTGGTCTGTATACTCACATTGTCGAAGTAGGTGTAACAAAAGTTCTTCAGTATGACGACTAATTTCAGCGGTTAGGATACTAACAGGTAGTTGTTTTGATGGCTAGTCTGTAAGAAAATACAGCCAAATGAATAGAAATTTCTTAAATAGATCATTTTTGATGGTGAACTAATTTCTACCAGGCTAAAGCTCATAAGAGGCTGGAATATTTTTTCAATTAGAGGTATGGAGATTAGTGTTGTTACACATTTGATATCATCAATCAATCATTTTTAAACCACCATTAGAAACCTGGAAGCACAGGATGGCAA